AAACAGACACCTACATATATATTATTCTATAGCCTATATGTTTACACACACACACACACACACACACACACTAGCGCGGTGCCTCCAGATACCGTGCCAGCTTCTATTTTGAAACGAACGGGTCTACAACCAGCCTCTCACGCAGACGTGAAGCAGAGACGCGCTCCGAGGAGTTGAGCAGCATCAGATCCTCTGTTCACGAGTTCAAATGTTTACATGGTTTGCGCATGCCTCAAGTCACTCGTCATTTTTGAAGACGTTATTTCGTCGTTTAAACTCTTTGTGTGTTGAATCTGTCGGAGGGGAATGCTTACTGAAAAATAAGAATTAAAAAACGCAGACTAAATAGGAGTTTCTTGATAGGACATATTTCTAATTTATTGTACATAAAGTGAGTAACCTCGTCTTTCTATCGGAATGAGTTGAATATGCTGAATATTGTTTTGTCTTCTCGGGATGTGGCATCTTACTGTAATATAGAGTTTGTTTTTCTTTTTTTGTCTGCCATGTTCTTTAGATTCTGTTTTTTTTTTCCATGTTGTTGTGCCGACTGTCTGATTTCTGTTCCGATGTCAGTCCGATGAGCTCTTCGTGTCTTTGATTTGTTTAATTGTTAACAGTAATGAGTTAGACTCTGCTGACGGGACAGAGGGGAGGAGACGGTGGGGATAAAAACGAAGCAACGCTTCTATATAAATTATAATGATTATTATTTTTGTTTTTTAATTTTAATTATTGACTCTTTCTTTGTGCCCTTCACGTCCTCTCGCTTTCTGTCCCAGTATTTACTCACCTGACTGGAGGAACAAAGCTTCTGGAGGTTTTTGCTGCTGATTCTATTTCCCTTCTGCTTTTTATTTTCATTTTTATTTTTTATTTTTTTTAACCAGACGAGCCACGTGGCCTCAGTAAACGGCTCCATGAACGCGCAGGCGGCCTCCAGTCACCGTGTTCCTCTCCTCCATGTGAAGTGTTCTTACTTGTATGTTTTCTTCTCTTCCTTCCTCTGTGTCGTTGTCTCTTGTTTCTTTGTGCGATGGCACTGCTGATGCTGGATTCCTATTAAAAGAAGAGACTTTACAGTAAGACCTGGCTTCCTGTGATTGCTTCCGCTGCTCACTGATGAACAAACAGAGGAGAGTATTTATCTTTATACCGTTTACTTCTGCTGCTCTCTGGCGGGAACGCGCCGCTGACAAAGAGCCCTCCGCTGCCTTCTTTTCATACCTCTCCAGATTGGATTCGCTCTCTGTGGGAAAACAGGGAGAGACGGAGGCGACAGAAGGGGGGAGAGAGGAGAGGAGAGGAGAGGAGAGGAGAGGAGGAGGAGGAGGAGGAGGAGAGGAGAGGAGGAGGAGAGGAGAGAGAGAAAAGCAGCGGATGAGCGAGCATGTGTTTGAAATATGTGTCTCTTCAGTTGTACACTGGAGCTTAAAGGAGAGGGGCGTCTGTTTGGCTGCAACACCAAAAGACTGTCATAAACCCATAAACACCCCCCACCACACACACACACACACACACACACACACACACAGTCACAGATGATGAGTGCATTCATTAGAAGCGTCTCATCCGTCCATTAGGAGCTTGTGAAGCCGCTGCGGTTCCTGTGTTTGTCTCTCTGACAGACACAGAGTCTGATTAGGGCTGCAGGGTCTCTATTTCCTCTCTGATTTCACACATGCTATAGAAACTATTGTAATAGCTCCGAGCTGAAGTTGCACAAGTAGTAAAAGTTGCTTTTTTTTTTTTTTTTTTTGCTGTTGCTGCAAAATAAAGTCTTAACTCCAGTAAGTGGTCTGAACTGTGAGAGCTCCTCCAGCAGGCCGGGGCAGCGTGTTGGTGTCAGTCTACTCTATGAACTAAGTCACATTATTTGATGTTCAACAATTGCCCTGCTGTTGGTAATTGTGGTTGCAAGCAGCAGCATAGCCAAGATTTTATAAATACTGAGGTCATGGAGCTTAATTCCCTCGGTGCAGCTCCACCCCACTTCAACATTTCTTGCGAGTCGCCAAATAAATCTCCAGATTTTTTCACATATATGCTGCCCTGCAAATGTTTAAGGCGCTTTAAGATGTCGTGGAGCAGCATCGGGGAGGAATCTGAGTGGGCCAGGACTCGATCTGCAGCAGGACAAGGAGGCCACACATCCAGCCTGAGTCATACAGAACAGACCAGGGGAGTCCTGCAGCAGATGATGAGGCCCCACAGAGGCCTGACCCTGTTTGGGATTACATGAAGAGGGACAGAAGACACTGGAGCTGTGGCAAAGATCTGAAAGAGGCTTGAATCAACATACCTGCCAAATACTTTAAAACACTGAGTACAAGAGGAGGAGGAGGAGGAGGTGCTGCTCCAGTGTTCAGAACAAATAGTAAGTTCATGTAGTTTTCTGTTTCGTGCACTTTGCAGGCAGCTGATCAATAGAAACTGTACGTTTAAAGGAATCAGAACAAAAAACTAGAATCAAGCTGAAGCTCAGTCATGTTGATGTGGACACTCCCAAATCCAATGAGATGGTTTCACACAAAACATCTAGAAAGAACTAGAAAAGAAAGTCAAATTTACTTTATACTGAGTTGTTAAAACTGCACCAAAGAAGCTGCATTTAAGCATCTTTGTTCAATAATAAGTGACATGAATGAGTCCCTTTGAGCTGCTTCAGCTTAAAGCTGGAGTCAGTGATTCCAACCCTTCAGACTCAGAGGACATGTCCTCCTGCAGATGAATGATCTCTGTGTGCACAGAAACAAATGTCCAGGTTCTGACTTCCTGAAACGAGCAGACTGATCCACATGGAGGGGGAGGGGAGAGGGCTCTGTGGTGGGGAGAGGGCTGGTAAACGTGACTCATGCTAACCAGCTAATCACCAACAGTCTTCCTCCAGAATCCCAGAAACCAGTTTCAAGTACAGCGAGTTCGTCTGACTGAGCTGAACCTTAAGTCAATAAAGTAATGACGGCTAATTAGCGCTCAGGATGACTTTAAATGTCACCAAATGTGCTTCACAGTCGGTGAAAACCAGCGTTTGTGGAGACAGATGATGCTGAACAGTCACATAATCCAGATATCAGCTCACACAGAAGATGAAGAGCTTACGGACGGCTTGATGGATGTCAAACCTCCCGGTGTGAGGTGTTCAGGTGCATGGCCTGGCTGCTGGTTGTGTTCAGGTACAGGAGTCAGACCAGCCCAACAGCAGCCTGGGTCCTGAGGCTCTACAGACTACAGGCTAAACTAGCATGTTACATGCTAGCAGGAGGCCTGAAGCGCAGCCGTGTGAGCGCTGCTCGCACACGTGTCGTGCTCACTAGCATGTGTGTGCATCCTGTGCTCGCCATGATGCTCTCATTTTTTAACACGCTGCATCCAATTAGCATTTTAAATTGGTACAGATTAGCTCAGTAATTTTGGCTGGTGCCACATAATCGTGGCTGCAGCTGATGTTACAGGCGTTAATGTGAACAGCATGGCAGCTTCACTCAGCTCGTCCTGCTGCTATCAGCGAGCTTCAGCCTGCCAGCAGTTTTAAGAATGAGCTGCCAACATGCACTTGAATGATTAAAACACAGCTGACGATAAATAATCATTCAAGTTGAGTAACGCGTGTAAAAATAAAGACCCACTTGAGAAGCGTCCAGTCACACAGTTCCCGGACGCGTCTCTGACATCAGTCATGTCTGAACTGTTGTTTCACTTCAGCAACACAGACACAGGTCCGGTTCACTCCAGTGACTTCAGCTTTATGGCTCGTTTGTGGACAATGAGCACATGGGTCACATTACATGGATTTAATTAATACAATTGTGACAAATAAATGTGAAAAGAGAAAGCCTACCGGAGCTGCAGCTGATGTAAAGGACGGTTAGAATAAACCTCACTGGTTCTGCAGGTCACTGATGTGGATTCTATCAACCAGAAATCAGACTTTGTCCTTTTAAACTAGTGTTTGATGTTCAGTTAAAGTCAGACAGGTGGGTTTCCTGCTCTGTTAGCGTCCTGTGATGGTCCTGGAGATGGTCCTGGAGATGTCTCTGGTTCAGCTGGTTTCACTGAGTTGGATTACAGAGTAAAGGACAGGAGCATGTTTCACAGTCTGTATAAAACTAATGCTTCAGATGGATCAACAAACTTCAACCTGGGAGGATTCAAAGGATCTGAGTCGATCGAACTTAAACCAACTTCATCTGGATAAACTTGATTTAACTGTGTGAAGCCATTCATTGAAGTTTTTAGTGTTTTTTTAGTGTAGTATTTACTAAATGTTTAGCAAACCCCTGAACACAACACAGTGTGCCTATAAGGAGCTATGAGGGACTGTGTGACGTCTGTATTAATGTATCAGGATGCTTTCAGCTAAACAGGTGAATCAATCTTTGCCAGAGCTCGGCTCATTCTGCACCACGTTGTTCATTCACTTCATCTCTTCATATAGCTGTGAGTCCATGAGTTAAAGTTGTCAGCGAATGCATGAATAAACAGTCAGAATGTGAGTCTGTGTGCTTCCAGCTTCCCTCTGATCAGCTGTTTAGACTCCATGATAGCTGTTGACACAGACTCACGCTACAGAAGCATCTCTATCTGCTCAGGACCACTTCAGCCTGTGACAGACGCTGATTATCTGATCCTGCAGTGTTTCTAGATGCTGGCCTGTGAGGCTGATGTCTCGCTGTGGCAGCACCGGACCAACTGTGGAAGCAGCTTTGGTGGAAGCTGGTGAACAAAGTGTGAGCACAGCTCTGAGCTCCATCCTGCACCAATGAGGCCTCATTTAGGCTCAGGCCCCAACAAAGACATCCCATAAACCATCTGTGGGCTCGACGGTGATTGTGATGCTTCTGCGAGGTCTAGCAGGG